CTGCCCGTCATGTGCGCCGTGGCCTTCCGCCATGAGTTGGCGAGGCCCTCGACCGGCGGGGGGAGGGCCGTCCCCGCTGTCCTCCTCGCACACGGGGTTTGGCGGCGGGGTGAGCATGGGGAACTTTAGCGTGAACATCGTCGGGTGTTTTGGGTTTGTCTCGGTGCAGGACGCCGTGGAGGCGGCCCACCAGGCGAGCTTCTCCGCCCAGATGGGGGGGACGCCGCTGGGGTCGTCGATGGGGCAACCCCCCCCACAGACCGGGTCTCGCGCGAGCAGTGAGTGCAGCAACTATTCCCTCGCGACCTCCCTGCAGAGTTTTATGCAGGTCGGGGGGCATTCGCTCTTGGGCAGCTCGAACGGGATGATGGGGGCGAGCGACGGTGAGAACGACCTCCTGATGGCCCTGCCCGCCTCCGCGGCCGCGCCCCTGGCGGCGATGGTCTTCCTCACCAAATCAGCCGGCGAGCAGAAGCTCTCTCACGTGACCTACGTGGCCGCCTCGACCTATTATTTTCAGCTCATCCACGCCGGCGTGATTGCGCGGCGGGCGAACTTTTCCTTCTCCGGCCCGGGCTCTTTGGGGCCCCCGCTTTCGTCCACGGCCCCCGTCTTCGCGCCGGAGCTCCCCCCGCCGGCCTACCTTCCCCCGATAGAGCAGTTCAGCTTCTCCAGCCTCATCACCAACATCCCGGTGCTGTCCTTCCTGTACGAAATGAAGTGCCGTTGGGGCTACTTGGGGGTCCTGCGGTCCGGCACCCCAACCGCGGAAAGTGGGGGAGGGGGAGGGAGGCGTGGGTACGCGCCGCGGGGGATGGGAAACCACAGCTCGGGCGGCCTCGCCATCATCGCCGCGGGCAGCGGCCAGGATCTCACGGACGAGATGGAGATGTGGATCACGCCGGATAAGATGATCCACGGCCGCATCTCCAGCACCCTCGCCGCGCAGCTCTGCTGGTCCCTGGTAGAGCGCCCGGAGGTGATCCAGGAGCGCGTTCTGCAGCTGCCCAGCGAGGAGACGGGGTATTGGCGCTACCGCGGCCTCGTCAACCGCGCCTATCCGC